TTAAACGAAATGGAAATTTCAGAAGAGGATGTGAATATTGACGCTGGTGTTATAGAATACATAAGAATGGCGCAAAATGTTACAAAATATAAGGAAAACGATGTATTTTGGTTTTAAACTTTAAAGAGGGGGACGTTCCCTTGGGCGCTGGTAAACGCATTAGAGGGTCAGACAGAATAAAAAGCAATCTGGAATTATTTTGAAGTAGCAAAGAAAATAGTGGCAGCTTTTTGCGTCAGTCATACTGGACAAAAAGCAATCAAACAAAAATTCGTTTTCTTTGATCGAAAGAAAATTTAATTCTTTCAACAGGTTGCTTTTAGCTTATTTAAGTTAAATATTGATAACATATATATACATATACATGCGCATTCCACAAAGAAGCATGATTTCAGAAATTATGTAACAAAACTGGTCCGAATAATTTCCTGCCGACCCTCTTAATCCGCTTTCAGCCACCAAGTCAGCCGCTCATTGTTTCCTTTGTATGTGTGTGCCACCACAATTGCGTTGATCTTTCGCGTTTTTCATTATTGACAGCCAACGAAATGGCTTCGAAGCTCCAAGCGACAAGGTGTTGTTACGAGCACTCCCACCTCAACTATTTACCAGCACGAATCGCTACACTCGCAGTGTGCTTTTGCATTGCAAGTGATTTCTGAACACTGTCTCACTAATATTTGTTGTTGTTGCTGCCATTCGATTTTAAATTATGTGAAACACTTTATTATGCCAAATAGCCCCAAGCATAGTTGTGATGAATTTTTTATAAGACTCCATCCAACAACAATTGCAGCGTGTCTATAGCTGTGGCGAATGTGACGAGAAAATACGAATGGTGAAAGTGAAAAGTGAATGCTAAACCTGGTTGGCATTTGACTAAAGCCATAAAGCTTTGTTTGTATGTAGATAGATACATACAATCGAGCAAATACATACATATTTATTTTTAACAAGAAGCCGTAGGCTATAATCATCACCTGGGTGACACTATCTACATACATAGCAAATTTCGCAACGCACGTTCGATTGCCTGTGATTTAATATAGGTGTAAATAAGCATAGACTTAAACATATACATACATATACATGCAGGTATGTATTTATAAGGGTGGTCCTTAAAAGTATCAACATCTTAATTTTAAAGGGAGTCTCTTTTCTAACCTATGTAAGTACAGAATAAAGATGTTCACGAAAATTTCAAAATTTTAAATAAATTTTAGAGTTTAAAATAATTATTTTTTTAATCGTAAAAATTCGGCAAAATTTTCACTTGAAATCCGATACATTTGACAACTTTGAAATTTAGCGGGCGCCACAAGGATTTGAAAAGTTTTAACTTTTTTAAGAAATCGTTAAAAATTTACAAATTTTGACTCGAAATCTGATAATTTTGGCATATTTTTGAAACTGGTTTATATAAGTTTATACACGTCCCTGAGTAGCCGCTGATCAGAGTTAAAATCGTGTCGAATTTTTGCGGTTAAAAAATTATTTCTTTTCAAATCCTGGTAGCGACTCCTAAAAATTTGTTTAAAGTTTTGAAAATTTCTTGGATGTCTTTATTTTGTACGTAGAATAAAACCAGGCAGTGCACCACGATGTCAATACATTAAAGACCACCCTAATATGCACGTACGTAAGTATGTAAAAATAACAGTTTGCGTGCCTACCCAGCTTGCCTCACTGCTTCTGTGTTGGCGCTAGTGAGGCGTAGAATGAGGAGTGAGTGCGCGTAAAGTATCACGAATCAATCACGAAGTCACCTAAAGATTGGAATATAAATTTATGTATGTATTATGTACATGTGCATATATAGCGCAAGTTTTTCCGTTTTATTTTCACACAAACTGTAGCACGACATCCCTTCTCAACTCATCATCTGCTGGAAAAATCGCTACTGTTTGCTTTGATTCCCAAATAAATGTAAATTTTTATTTTCTTAAAATTAAATTTTTGTTTGAACTTTCGTTATCACGCATTTATCATTTTTCTTTTTTTTCTTCTTCGTTTGTATTGTTTTTATTTTTTTTGAAGTTTTGTTTTTTGCTTTCGTTTTTTGTTTTTCCCTCTTTGCCATGGCAAAAAAAATAGTTGTTTTTTGCGTTTAGCTGTGTTTTCCAAGGCGGGCGCAAATTTTCGCACATTGGCAGCAGGCGTCGCTCATTTGTTTGAGTGCACACGCCAAGGCGAATTAATATAAGGTGATAGCAGGAGTACAAAAACAAAAATTTACATGTATTTTGTTTTTGCTTTGGCGGCATAAACTGTCAAAATCTGTAATAGTGGGTGTAGAAATTCAAACAAAATTTTTCAATTTGATATCAGAAGCCGTGCGGCGAAACACATACACAAAATCAGCTGAGCTAGTAACACCACCTTATATAATAGAATATTATATAGAGAAGAGGGATTGGAAGGAGGAAGACGAGAATTTATATTTGTGAAAATTTGTGGCAGCATCCATTTGGTCGCCGTATTCAGAGCTGGCTGACTTATATATGTAGTTGTAAACAGCTATCAATTCAGTAGCTTTGGCTCTGATTGATTTGACTTGTTCTTGGCTTATTTTGTTATTGTTGTTGGCATTTGAATTTTAAATTATGAAACATTTTTGAAAAACTCGAGGCCCAGGAACTAAATAAAGCGCAAATCTTCGTTCTAAATATTGATATTTTTTTATTGTCGATATTTCGACCTCAATCTGAGGTCATCTTCAGAAACTCTTGATTGTACCTGGTCGAAATAGCGACAAATAAAATATCAATAGAACGAAGATTTGCGTTTTTCTTGGCTTGGTAAACATTTTTCCATTTAAGTAAAACATATCGCTCATTTTCTGCAATAGTGTCATAAAGCAAAAAATCAAAAACTCGAGAAATACGGCCTTAGAAGTTTACAGTTTACTTATCTACGCGGTAAAAAAGAAGAAACATTTTTTTTGTGAGTGGAATATGGAGAGAATATTTCGACGCATCGAATACATACTTTTAATGCTTCAGTTTCGTGTCAGGAAAACTTCATACTTGAAATAAAGTTAAAGTGCTCTTAGTATGGTATTTCTTCTCCTCTTTAGAGCTGAACATTTGCAAAGAAGGTCCTGCTCGTTTTCATCTCTGCAGCTTCTACAGAAGTCATTGTAGGCGATAACCGGCCAATGCCCAGTGAGAGTTGTTTCAAGCCTTGAAACAGCAGATGTGGTTTTTTTTTAATAAGTTATGTGTTCTCTTAAGGTTCTACACGGGCTTCATGAGTTTGGATATACGACATCCTGCCGCCGTTGGTCACTTTTTATCCGATTTCTTAAGATTGTGGAGACAGATGTCTCTATATAAGGTTTCAATTGGGCGTGAAATGCCATCCTTGATCGAGACCGATTTGGTATTCTCTCTTCATTCCCAGGAATATAGCGGTGACCAGGAACCCAAACCAAATCTAGATCCAGCTGAATACTTATTGAGTTTAAAACAATCCTACACTCTTTGATTAATTTCAACCCTGTTGTAAAAGTTGCCAAGGCCTTAGTGACCGTCTAGTTATATGATAAAATAGCTACGCATTCGCCATGATGTAAACCAATACGTTCTAAGAGATGGCAGCCGACAGCTGTAGCGAATACTTCTGCCTGGAAAACACTTGCAAAATCAGGCAGATGAATTGATCTTCTTAGATGATGCATCCAGGCAGAGGTATCAAGTTCCCCATTCCAGTCGGCTCTCGACGAAATAATGACCTCGAAAGGCCTGCGAAACTCTACTTTGGGTCGTATGTAATCGATTTTCAGTCTCATCTTAAGTGGTTTTTCCATAAACCAGATATGTAGCCAAAGACGTGACCATGGCAATAATCTGTTAGAAGCTACCTCCATTGTAGATAGTTAAGACGCACTTCAGGCAGTTTCTGCAGACGAATGCCACCCCATGAAGGAGTGATTGCTGTTCGTAGAGCTGTCGGCTTACCATTTAAGATATTAGATTTACTTTTACTTTTTATTGCTTTCACCTTTAACATAACGTAAAATACAAACATACATATGTACATATTTTAGTAAATACAATTTTGAAATTATGCAAATTCAGCTAAAAGTCAATACCAGAAGCAAAAACAGCAAAATACACAGGAAAATAAGGAGAAAATGTCCATAGGAGTATGTATGTATATAGTAAATATGTACATATGTATGTATGTATTTATGGTTGTAAAATTTATCTGATTATTCTACTTCAAGTCGTTTTCAACGAAAGCAACAATAACAGCAATAAAACCTTTGAAAATGACAATGACAACGAAGAAAGTGACGGTTGTGACACCAAGGACAACATTGAAAACAAGGAAGTGCCAATAAAATGGAATATCATAATTTTAGCTGATGAAGTTGTGCGCTATATATAAGAAAAGAAAAATAAGCAATGACAACAAAGTTAACAACAAAAGCTGATGACAGCAAAGCTGTTAAGTAAAATAAAATAAAGAAAATATGGGAAGTATGTAGTTGATACCATCGTACAGTTCCATAAGTAAAGTAACTCTTCTTCTTACCGTTTTTTCTGGCAGGCTGTAGGTGTGTTTTTGGCAGGCTGTAGGTGTGTTTTTGGTTATTGTATTGGTGTTTTTGGTTCAGTGTGTTAGTGTATTTTGAATAAATTGTAATAGAAATTAATGAAATTGTAATAGAAATGAAAGAAATTGTAAAAGATAAGGCATATGCCAAAAAACAGGTGATCTCAGCTGTAGGCATATTTTGGCAATCAGCTGATAGTGTTTTTACTTATGAAACTGTACGATGGTTGATAATGAGGGTAGTGGCAGTCGATAGTAGCCTGTACCTGGGAAGAGTTGCTGTGCGGGGTGGCAGCAATTGAGAAGCACAAAAGATAAGCGATGTAAAATCGCATTCTGGGTACAAGCATAAGTGCCCAGATACATTTATGTACGCAATGATGAGATCAATTCAAGATTTCAATTCAGTGCCAGCAGCGCGGCCTGTATAACAAAGATTATCAGCCGGAGGCAATCAGTGCGCTGCCAGCTCCTTGCTGCGTATCCATTGCGCTTATTGATATCAGAGCAGCAGCAGCAGTTACGACCAGCACATAATTTCCATCTTCAAAGTGATAGGAATATATTGTTACGCATATCTTTTTAATGAGATTTTCTTGGTAAACAACTAAGTATGAGCTGCTATCTCGGTTTAGTGCGCATTTGCTGTGAGCAGCTTACACTTTTTATCGCATTTTATGTAATTGCGAAAAGAAATTAGATTGAATAAATTGGATTGTTTATCGAAAACAAGACGCATATGATAATGTTGATTGCGGCCAGTGTTTTGTGCAAAAAGGACTGAACTCATTTTGATGCCTTTTAAATAAGCGAAATAGAAATGAAGAAGGATACTAGAGGCCCAAGCCCAATGCATTCGAGTATATATGTAACTATATGTATTAGACTACATCACTCCCCATACGAAAAAAATCGGTACTGTTTTTCTATTGGAATTATAAAATCTATTATATTTTAAAATTGAGTTTTTTATGAGTAAAAATAGTTTCTTAAAGGTGTTTTTTCAAAAAATTCCCTCAAATGACAAAGCGGTTTAAGCTTAAAAAATTGACATAAAATATTAAAAAAAAAATTGAACGGAATCGTAAATATCCGATTTTTGATGCTGTTTTTTAACTTTCGTATAAGAAAAACTTGAATAACTGAACCTAAACTCTTCCGATTTAGACTTGTGAGGTATCAATTAGAAAGGTATTTTCTCACCCTTTTTATTTCTTTGCTAATAAGGTCATTCAAAGCATGAAAGAGAAAGGTAGCACGAACGAACGTCATTCAAAGTTGAATTAAGATGTGTTGGTATTTGAAAAAAAAATGGGGCACGAATGATTTTTTTTTACAGAAATAAAAACAGTGGAAATATATCTTTCTACTGAGATCCCACAAGTCTAAAGGAGAATAGTTTTGGCCCAGTTATTTAAGTTTTTCGTAAATCTATCTTTGAAAAAAAGTGAAAAAACAGCATTAAAAATCTCATTATTACGATTCCGTTGAAAAGATTTTTAAATATTTTTATGCAGATTTTTTAAGCCTAATCTGTTTTGTCAACTGAGGGGACTTTTTTCAAAAAGTTCTTTAAGAAACTATTTTTATTCAAAAAAAAACTCAATTTTTTTAGGTATTTTCAAATCGGTCCGGCTCGCTTAATTCTTAATATTTTTCCGAAATATTCCGGTGGACGTCTTAGAATATAATAAATTTTGTAATCCCGGCGGAAAAAACCGCAACTTTTTTTTGGTGGTGCAGTCTAATGTATATGCACTTGTACAGTCTAGACTCCATATATTTGTAAAAAAAAACTTTTTATTGCACCTTCTGCCTTATACACCTATGCTGCATTCCACTCTGAAATCATCGCAAAGAATTTTTGTCCTCTGCACTAAGCTGAAAGTGAAAAATTTACGATCCGCACTGAAGCAAAGTTGTTTGTTTATTACCTTACAAAACTGCTTACACGTTGCAGCCTACAATGAGGAAATTTTCAACGAGTAGCCTTACCTCGAAGGTATGCGGCAATAAATGGCTGCCAACATACTGCTTGCTTGCGGTAAAGCAATTTTATTTATTGCACTGAGTTTGCCACTTACAGTACTTGCCACTTACATTTTATTATGTCGGCGTGAAAATAAATTTTCGCATTCGCATGTATGTATGAATGGAAATTTATGCTTATAACAGCGAGCACATGTGGAAAGTTAGCTGAAAACTTCGGACTAAACAAAAGTTGTTTTTGCACTCAAATGAGTAGAGAAAATATAATTTAAACCGCCGCTGGCTGCTATTTGAGCTATTTAGCTTTACAGCTAACTGCCACTACGAAGTGGGTAGAGGTGCGTAATGTAAGTTGGTAGGATTCGGGTTACATGCCCGGTATAAGGAACACCAGCAAATAGTTTTCTAAGAAGCGGCCGCCGCTAGCCAAGCAAAGGAAGGTTACTCACCAAAATCCATCTACCGNAGTTGGTAGGATTCGGGTTACATGCCCGGTATAAGGAACACCAGCAAATAATTTTCTAAGAAGCGGCCGCCGCTAGCCAAGCAAAGGAAGGTTACTCACCAAAATCCATCTACCGTAAAACTATGTTCACATATCAATATTATCTCAATCAAAGCTCGTTTTTTAATCACCCCGTTTACACAAGCAAATCTCAGATTATTAGCCGTCAAATTTGTTGTGCTTGTTATTCTCACATCTCAAGGAAAAGTTATGTTTCTTCTCTGTGCCACCGTGATCACGTTTTTCTGCTATAATAAGCAATATANTAAGCCTTCAATTGAAGGTAGGAAAAACTCAGCCACACACTTAGCAAGCATGTGAGCGCTAAATGTGCCTTTTTAACTTATTTACGTTTGCTTTCGATTTGTAGTGACTGAAACTACTTAAAATACGCTTCACCGGCAGAATGTAGACAATGTAGCACGTTTCTAATGTCTATTAAAAATGCAGGACTACACATCGGTGTCGCATGCTATTGCCGTATTTAATAGTCAAGTCATTGCTGCCGTTATTACTGCTGTCTTGCACAGTCCCAGCTGTGTTTTTTGTTTTTTGATTTTTGTTTTTATTTTTTCAATAGTTTGTAATGTACTACATTTCCTGTGTTTACTTTTTATTGACCATTTGAACAGCCGTAAAACCGGAAAGGTTTAGAAAATGAAAACATTAGCATAAATTGCTGACAGGGGAACATAAATAGAAGCAAAAACAAATAAATATTGCTTAACGGAAATCAGAAATGCCATTTTATGAGCACAATACCTTTCTATTTTTGCTCTTCTGTGTGAGAGTGGCCGCATGTGTTCGCTTGCGGAAGGGGAAATTTAATATGTAACAAATTTTCGGTGCCATTGGGCATTGGCTACAAACTGAAAGTTTTCCTTGCTTGTATGACACACACGCCTATTACGAGCATCTTATTTTGAGAGCCAGGTAACTGACATATAAATATGTTAACTTATTTTTTTTTTATATAAAAAAACTGCACAATTTAAGTGCTCTTATTAAAGAGTATATTTCTTGTAAAGAAGTAAAAGTATCTTGGGTATGCTAATAGGATACTTATTGATACATCATTTGGGATAGTTTGGAAGTTTGGAGAAAAGATAAATTGGATTTTACAGAAAACGATGCGAAAATGGTTCATTCACCCTATTATCTGCGAAGATGTGGGTGCCGGATATCGAAAAGGATAGAAGAAAATATTTAATTTTCAGCATATGCACATCTTTGTTTATGCTGCTGCAGGAAAGAAATTGCAAAAAGTCGACATTGAATTCAATGACTTTTTCTGGAGCTTAATTGGGGCATTTAAATTTGTTGGCCTTCGTATAAAGTTAAAATTAGAAGAAATCTGAGAACTGTGGATCAGATATTAATAGAAAAGATCCATATCTTCGGTGAAACCACGGTAGCGTTGTGGATTATGCTCGCTTGGCGCGCAATATCTTGTGTTGCCAGTGGCACAGGAAAAAAAAATATTTTGGTTACCTCGGATATTACAGAACTTTAGACGGAAGACAGACATATCTTTCCTTAATAGATAGGAAAGTACAAATATTTGCCCTCCAGAGATTGTAGACTAATCACTCCGTCCTCCAATGGGACATAAGATCCCAATTTTTCAACTGCTTTCTCTAGTTATTCTTCTTCTTATTTGGCGCTGTAACTGCCTAAGTGATTTTGGCCGAGTGCTAGGTGAGGTCAATTGGCAATGCCAAGTGAAGCCAGGTCCTTTTCCACCAGGTCTTTCCATCACAGTGGGGGCCTACCTCTTGCTCTGCTACCACCAGCCGGTTGCGAGTTGAATACTTTTCGAGCTGGAGCGTCGGGCATAAGTTCCTACATTAGCAGCTTTATGAAGGACTAGAAAATGTACTGGCCAAAGCATTTATTCTAGTCGACAAAAGTCACATGCAGTGAATAAAATTTTTTCCAAATTTGAGCAACTGAAAAATTATTTATAAATCGTATAAAAATAATTCATGTATTGCTTTACGAGGCAGGTGAAGCTCTGTATCCCGCTAGTCTCCGGCGACCACACAGTCACTGCATAGGTTAGAACTGGTCGCCTAATTGCCTTTTATGTTGCCAACAACGTTTCTTTATTTTTGCCCCAGGTGTCGCCGGCTAGCGACTTGAGGACCATGCTGCGGCTCTGTACTAGAGAGCAGACAATCGAAGGTAGCTCTGAGAATGTTTGGATTATGCACCGTCGGAATTGGTTCGCCATCGACGTGAATCCCCAGCTGTAGTCTGACCTCGTTCGTTCAGGTGGTAAAGAGGATCGTCGAGCATTTCGTAGGGTTGCTTCGGCTCGCCGTCGACTGGCAAACATTGAACGCAAATCTACTTTGACTTAGTCGATTTTTAAGGACTCTGGCCGATTGGATTGTCACATTGTATTTCGACTGATGAGTGGAAGATCGACCTATCTAGACAGCCAGTTCTGAAACGCCCTATCTCAAAAAACCTTTCAAGAACTCCTTATTTCATAATTTTATTGAAAAACGTCCTATCTCAGGCTTTGTATGAAGAAAGCCCTATTTCAGAATTCCTTTAAAAAACGCCCTATATAAGCACATTTTTAATACATTTTGAAGTGAGATAGGGAGTTTTTGAACCGAATTTTGAGATAGGGCGTTCTTCCACCAAATTCTGAGACCGGATGTTTTTCAATAAATATTCTGAAATAAGGTTTTCTTCAAAATTTTTTTGAGATAGGGCGTTTTCGAACTGGCTGCGGAGATAGGTCGATCTTTCACTCAGCAATCGATTTGCGGGTGTGTAGTTTTTATTTTACAAATAACAATTTTTCCTTTTTGCTCCGCTTTATATACCTTCCATTTTCTAAAAAAATTCCATCATTTAGTTGTCTCTTACGTAAATTAGTCATTACGTGGCAGCACGTAGCCATTAATACGCCTTGCGAGCGAAAAATTCACTCAAACCGCGTGGAGTATCTGTTAATGGTGATAACAGCAAACAGCCTCCAAATAATGGCAAAGTATTTGATGATGAATGCCTGCATAATAAACTATTTTCTGATG